GGTACCGACATACGTGATGCAGTCTGAGGTCCACCAGTGGTCGGAACACCCAGCAGTACCTGACCAGAGGCACGGATATGTCATCCCCACCGCATCGCAAGTCTCTTTCACGTTGGTACCAGTCATGGGTCCTGACGAACGAACCTTATAAAAGGCCCAGTTGTCATGCGTAGTCAGGTACACCTGTTCACCTGAAGAAGGAAGAAAACTTTTTATCGCCAGGTAATGTCTGTCATTATTTGCAAGTAGTCGGAAGTGGTCGATTTTGATGGCGATGACAAGAAATCCTGAACGTTACAGTAGATTTATATATCCTAGCTAAATAATAAAGAATATTATTAGATACCAGGTTATCCTTATTCAAAAAGATCCTTATTTAAAAAGACCGGCAATGAAAACATAAATTTCCACGGCGACGGTGGTTGCTGTTATTGTATTAGTGTTATTGTTTGCATGGCACTGCCATCATTTCATGATTTTGAGGAAGACTTGGTGTTTGTTAAGTCAAGACAGATACAATGCACTCCTCCCCTGAGTGTATAGTGAACGAGCCCCGGGGTCACAGAAAGTAGGGCCATCCGGGGCAGAGAGGTCTTCCCAAGGGTTTCCAGGAATGTGGGCATAGATGTGGGTCAGAGACATTACTGTGGACAAAATGCCTGTACCATTCCTAGAATTCTTGCAAACTGCGCACAATACTGTACCATTAGGCTCCTCCCTGAGACGTCGCCAAAAACATACTTTCTTGCACGAAGATATAGTGCCATACATTTGTAACAGGACGAAAAAGGACGCACGTCTGAACTCGTCAATGGCTTTATCTCAACTCATTTATTCAATCTGTAACCGGCCGGTTCTAGAGCCCCTTCCCTCGAACGGTACCGGTATAGATCACCTGTTCGAACACGACGTTGGCACGTGCGCTTGCACGTGTTCGAACAGGTGACCGCGGCACCGCCCAAGGGAGGGGATAGAACCGGCGAGAATACAAATGCTTTAAAACTAACAATACACATTGTTACATTCCTCCCCCCCTTACTTAAGTAGGTGCCCTCACCTGCAAGCTACTCATGCTAAATACGTTACATAATCCAATCTGTTTACAAATCCATTGTTCTATTTCACAATAGATTCTTCTGAAATATGTTGGCTCATCAATTCTCATAGACACATTTACAACTATTGTTAACATATGTATCCCATGTTAGGGAGTTCTGTAGGGAGTACTTTCGGATGTCCCACTGTAGTTGTTCGGCAAAGTTCGCATTTCCTCGCGTACTCCCTAGCATGGGGACTTCCGGACCGCCACACAGCTACAGTGTGATCCAGGAATGCAAAAATGATCTTCCTTGCAGTGTCGTCCCGTAGACTTTTTACTAGGCAAGCATCATATTTCGCAAGTAACACAAAAATGCACAGGCTCAATGCGGCTTGGTCGCTTCCCGTAGGCGTGCGAGCAAGGGCAAACATAGAAAATATCACATATTGTGCAACAACAAGTCAACACCACAAGAGTTCATAGGTCTTAGAAAGTTCTGTGGGTAGAGATACAGTACTCAGAGTTCGCAGCAAAGATCTAGCAGGCAGTCACGTCATGTTAGAAAGTCAGTTCCTACTCATGATGGGGTCGGTCGTCTGCGACACGAGGGCTGCCTGGAGTCGGCGGGCTGGGTTCCGCAGGCAGTCGGCGGTCGGGACGCGGCGACGTGGCACGGTCCGCTCGGGCCGGAAGGTGACGGCATGGCACGGTCTTGACGGTCTTGGGCAGGGTTGCATGTCTGAGACAAATGGCAAGTTCATGGCAAGCCTGGTCCACGGGAGCACGGCTGGATACAAAAGAGGTCGTGGCACGTAGGGGTAGCGTCGACGGGTTCTTCGTCGGTGTGGCCGGATTCGGAGCGGCGGTCTGGTGTGTCGGGTAGCATGGCGGCTGTCAGGGGTCGAGTCGGTTTGGCCGGGTAGCGGGCTGGCGGGTCGGGCGGCATGGTAGCGATGGCGGCGGTC